AAGCCCCTCACTCGCCATGCCCTACCTCGACGCCTGGTAACAACCTACCCAACCTGACTGGCCCTCTGGGAGGAGCAGGGACAGACACAGGGTCACCAGGAGCAACTCCACCCTGCGAACCCCGAACTGTGCACCCTAATTTGGTCAGTCCTTAGTGCTGTCTCCACAGCTCTCCCGACCCTCGGGGAGCCCACAGGGCTGGCAGCATTAGGCACACCTCCACAGGGGGCTTCGGCCAGGAAGGCACCTCTGCACGATGCCTGCCATGGTATCGCGCCATCCCCCACAAGCCAGGGTGTTACGGGGTCCCCACAGCCGTCCAGTGCCTCCCTTGGGACTGAACGACAGCTGCCCCACCCCTTCACGCTGTGCGCCTCTGAAGCACACGGCACTCGCGCCCCTCACGGTGAAGAAGTAATGTGAAGGACCCAGCTGCCTCATCGGACGCCCCTCCCTTTAACACCAGTTTCTGCTGAATTTTCACTGTAAGGGTCATTCCCTCACCCCATTTTAATTATTCAGACAATCTAATGAAGGGTATTACCATAGATATCATTTTCAATAGAGAATTTTACATTCTTGGGCCTGTTAAGTGCTTCTTTGCTAAAAAGGTCACTTTTTAACTTCAAAATTCTCTCTCTATTACTTAGTTAACATTCAATTTTTCCTTCTCATTTACTCCTCACTAATGTGAACTCCTAGGTTCTTTTTTATTCCGTGGGTAAGAACTGTAACTGAGCTAACTTATCGAGGTGCTCTAAAACTCTGAGCCTCGCCCCGCCCTGGCCTAAACTCTGCCCCCACCTCATTTTCTGGTACTTTCCAATTTCTGGGGCAAAAACAGGCAAGAACGTTTTTCAGCTCCCCCGTTTTTATGACAGAGCAGCACACCCCACATCATATACTCTGTTTTCCCACTTAGCAGTATATTCTTTTTCTTCTTTTATTTAATTTAACTTGTTTATTTAATTGACCAGAAAGGAACTGAATGAGAGCGAGAGAAAGTGAGAAAGCAAGCTGCCAGGTCTAGGACTAGAACTGGGGTCAGGCATGTGGGAGTCCAGCGCCCTTAACTACCACACCACCTGCCGGCAGCCCCAGCACGACATTCTGTAAGCCACACCCCATATGTTCACAAACACCGTGCCCTTTCCAGCTGCGCACCACGCTGTCCGTGTACAGCATGGGCTGGTCCACGCGAGTCATGCTGGCCAGGCTGTGGTCACAGGGCATGTGCGTTTCACACATGTGTATCTTCGAGGTAAATTCCTAGGATTCTTGGCCAGTCTCTCTATTTTCTTGGTCGGTTTTGTTAAATACTGCCAAATTCTCCAAAAGGAGACTAGCACTTATTACAGAGTACTTCTGAGTACAGAAGTGAGACCGACTCTTTCACTCTGACACCGTCTGACCATCCCGACAGTGCTTCTCTCCTGCTTCAACTGTGCAGGCTTTGCCATGTGCGTTAATGGGGCCAGGCCCCCATCCAGCTCTTTCTCAGCATATCCCAGCGATTTTCATGTGTTTGCTTTTATTTATCTGAACTTAACTATCAAGTTGTCTAGAACGAAAAGAGTTGGTATTTTTATTGGAAATGCATTAAACTCATGACCCTGAAGAACAGATAACTGTATGCTAAGACGCCCTGTTGAGGAATAAAGGATTTGGTGGCTGGATGGTAGCACAGTCAAAACTCTGTGAGGCTGACATGCATGGGAAGGTTCTGGGTTCGCATCCAGAGACCTCCTTGAGCCATGGAGGGGGCAGATCATGACCAAGACCCTGTCAATGGTGCTGTCTTTCTCTCTCTTGCTCATGGAAGAAAATAAACTTAGCAAAAAGAACATGGGTAGTTTTATACTTGTTCAATTCTATTTTGTGTCTTTCATGAGTGTTCAACATTTTTAAATTTATTTTTTTAGAAAGAGTTTTGCTATAGGACACATACGCTTACTAGAGAGACAGAGAGAAAGTGAGAAATCACCTTCGGGGGGGAGAGGGAGGATGGCCACACAAGCACACATGCCTGGCATGAGTTTTAAGCTGATGGGTCCGGGACTCAAACTACAGACTATGTGAAAGTCTAGCAACGTAACCGTTATGCCATCTGCTGGTTCCCCCTCAATTTTTTTTTTCCCCAAAATTATTTTTAAACCTTACGTGTGGAGCTCACTTTGGCAGCAGGTGAATTAAAATCAGAGCACACAGGGGTCAGGGTATAAGGGGATGTGGAAGTCTGGGTCATCTCTCTTTTTTCTTCTCTTTTTTTCAAGGTTTCTGCCACAGGGCATGTTCACTTGCCAGAGACAGACAGAGGGAAAGTGAAGGCCGGCCACATTGCAGCCCTTCCCCTCCATTTTCTTCAGGTCCTGGCCCCCGGTCTGTTTTTCTATTGATAGCTAGATAGGACTTGATCTTGTAGTCACCCATGTGGGATCCAGAGACTTAACCACCATGCTACCTGCTGATGCAGTCATTTCTATTCTTTATGTTTGCGGGAGCACTCCCTGAATAGCCCAGGTAGAAACACTCAAACATCCACCAACGGAGTGCATTTCCACATGACGGGGTACTACTCAGCTGTACAGGACGAAGTTCTAAAAGATGTACCGTATGCCTGGCTGTCCCTCGGTGTGTGTGTGTGTGTGTGTGTGTGGCCAAAAGCCCAAGAGTAGAAGTGACTACGACATGGCCATCCTCCTGGGGTGGGATTTCTCACTTTCTGTCTCTGTTTCTCCAGCGAGCATTATAACAAAAAAAGAAAAAGGAAAAAAAACCCTCCAGATAATTCCCCACCATCCCAAATCATGCAAAGTGGTTTCCTATGTCCCCAACTAGTCATACTCCTGACAGTCACTGCCCAGAGTCTCCGCACCGCCTGGCTCCTGTGACCGCCCCACTGCAGTAGCTCTCGTGGGCTCCAGGATGGCTGGGCTGCTAAACTGGGGCCACCAGACCTAAGTTTATTTGACCTCAAGTGCATCAGCTTCTGTGGTCTGCTAACCTTCCTGGTCACCGCTTTGCCAGCTCTCCCTTCTCTTCCTGGCAATTAAATACCAGAGTTCATTAAGGCTCAAGCGGTCTTCTTCTCCTTCTTCTTTTTTTTTTTTTTTGAGAGATTCTTTTGCTATGGGGCAGGTGCCCTCACCAGAGTGACAGAGACAGAAAGAGAGAAATCATCCCCCAGAGGGGATGGCCATGCTGCAATCCCTTCTCCTGGGATTTTGAGCATGAGCCCACATGGACCTGGCATGAGTTTCAAGCCTCCAGCTCCAGGACTCCAACTGCAGTCGGCCACGGGGAGTCCAGCGACATAACCGTTAATTACTCTAACACAGGGTGGTATGCTTTCCTTAAAAGGCAAGACAGCCAACATTGCGGGCTCCATGGATGTACAGTCTCTGTCCCAGCTACTCACAACGATACAACACACAAGCCACGGTTGTGTTCCAGTAATGCACAAACACTGGGACCAGCAGGTGGCATGGTAGTTAAGGCACTGGGCTCTCACATGGTCGACCATGGTTCAAGTCCTGGACCTGGTGGCTTGTTTTCTCACTTTCTCCCTCTGGTCAAATTAAAATAAGTAAATAAATAAATAAAATTAAAAATAAATAATTCTGAAAAAAAAAAAGAAAAACAAAGATAGTGTAGCAGTTATGTTACTGGATTCCCAAGTGGTCAACTGTGGCTCGAGTCCCAGACCTGGCAGCTTAAAACACACTGTGTATATGTGTGCCCAAAATCCCGAGAGGAGGGCCAGCAGTTAGTGTAATGGCTATGTCGCCAGACTCCCATGTAGTTGACCGCGGTTCACGTCCTGGATCCGGTGGCTTAAGAAAAACTCACGCTGGGCACATGTGCACGTGTGCCCAAGATCCCGAGGAGAGGATTTCTTGCTTTCTGTCTCTCTGTCTGTCTGGTGAGTGCACGTGCCCTATAGCAAAAACCTCTCCCCCCCAAAAAAAAAAAAAAAATTCCCAGAGGAGAATGGAGAAGGGATTTTGTAGTGTGCCCATCCCCCCAGGGGGTGATTTATCACTGTCTCTCAGTCTCTCTCTTTTTTTTTTTTTGAAGAGGTTTTTGCAATAGGGCACATGCACTTGCCAGAAAGACAGAGACAGAAAGCGAGAAATCACCCCGAGGGGGATGGCCATGCCACAATCCCTTCTCCTCTGTTCTCCTCTCAGGATCTTGGGCATGCACGCACATGCGCCTGGCGTGAGTTTTAAGCCACCGGGTCCAGGACTTGAACCGCGGTCGACTATGTGGGAGTCCAGCAACATAGCCATTGCACTAACTGCTGGTGCCTCTTGGTGAGCACATAGCCCTATAGGAAAAACCTCTCAAAAAAAAAAAAAGGGAAGAGGATGGAGGGGAGGCACTGCAGTGGCCATACCCATGGGGGTGATTTCTCACTTTCACTCTGTCTTTTGGCAAGTGTACACACCCTACAACAAAAACTTAGAAAGTAGAAGGGTGTATGGAGAGTGATTTTAAATCTCACATAATCTGATGTCTCATGAAATACATTCTTCTGACTTTTTACAACAATTCACAAGTATCAAACCATGCTAGCCCCAGGGCACACAGAAACAGGTGGTGGGTGGTGTCCACAGGCCCTCGTCCCACCTCAGCTTCTGGCCCGTGACACCCGCTAGGCACCTGCCAATCTCCACAACAGAATGTGACTCACACCCAGCCCTGAGTGGATGATCCATGTGCACAGACACAGGACAGGCAGGTCAGCTGTCACACCCACACTGCCAAGGCTGGGTCATGGCTGTGGGGCCGGCCCCTCCTATCCAGGTGCTAGCCGTTGTGTGGCTGTGACAACGTCCACATGCACACTGCCAGGACAGGACACTGAATGACGCAGGGCTTTAAATGATGTGGTCCACGCCCCTCATGACACGAGGGGCAAACGAGGGCACCGAGGCCCGGGAAGGGCTCCTGTGCCCTTCCATGAGACAAGGTCACTGACCGGTCAACAACATGGCAGTCAGACCTCCAGTGCCCGTGTCCTCCACACCCAGACTTGGCACGTACAGGCTCCCCCACAGAGGAAATAGAAGACAGGGTCCTGCCCTGCTGGGTCAGGAAGAGGAGAGGACAAGCCCTGGCCGTGGGGCTGGGCTCACCTGCAGGAGCTCCTGGATGGGGCAGGGAGAGGGGAGGCCAAGCCCGGCCTCACTCACCTGCAGGAGCTCCCGGGTGGGCTGTTGCTGCTTCCCCTCCAGCTGGGCGATCAGGCTGCTGAGGTGCGAGATGTTGCAGGAGAACTGGGCGATGGCACCGTTGATGCTGTTGTAGATGGCCAGGTCCAGCTCCTCCAGCCGTGCCAGGAGCCGGTACTCGTGCTCCTTCAGGGAGTGATACAACTGCTCGAACTCCCAGACGATCTTCTCCCTCTCCATCTGGGTCAGGCTCTGAGCAACGACAGGGAAGCACAGTAGAGCCCTCTCCATCTCCGCGACCTCCACCCCTCGGCAGCCTCATTTCATCCTGGGGCTCTCGTGGGCTGTGGTCACTCACTCACTCCCAGTGAAATCAAGGTTTCAGGACCTGCAGGTGGCGTGGTGGTTAAGGTGCTGGACACAAGTCTTAGACCTCGTGGCTTGCTTTCTCACTTTCTCTCTCTCTCTCTCTTTGTCCCTCTCTCTCTGGTCAAATTAATAATGAATGAATAAATAAAATTAAATAAAATAAATCTTTTTTTTAAAAAAAAAAAGAAAGAAATCAAGGTTTCACTAGGACATGTCCAGATGACGCACTGGCCATGACAATTTGGAGCTGTGTCAGAGCCCAAAGAGCCCGATCCTCGAGTGACAGCCAAGCACACATACTCTGCACCGTGGGAAGGGCAGTTCGAGCCTCACTGGAGGGTCTTGAGTCCAGCCTGATCTGCCCATGTCACAGATGAGAAACTGAGACCAAGAGAAGCCGACCAGCTCATGCCATCTGTGGAATTCATTAGAGCCAGGTCCAGGTGCCCTGGTTCTCGGGAAGGGCTGTGTCTCCCTGTCAACAACCCTTCACAGCAGGCTACACTGTGTACCTTCCCAAAGAGAGGCTGAGGGCTGAGGCCTGTGTGAGTGAAAACAGGAGGTACCTCTGGCCAGGCCTGCCAGTCCTCAGGAGGTGAGACACACGTGTGGTATGAGCGTCTGCGTGTTCAGACGCAAATCCCCAACCAGCGGGAACATCCGTGTACTGTGGGATGCTGGGTATGTAAGTACATATTATAAAAATCTCCACAGTTTTGGAATATTTGGGGGGGTTCTAAAACAGAACTCCCAAATGCCTCTCATGGATCAGCACAGAGCCACTTGCTTGGGCCTAGGAGACCAGTGAGAGAGAGAGGACATGGAGAATGAGAGCTCGTTTGGAATCAGTACTCTGGGGCCACATGAGGCCTGGAGGTGAAGGCAGCAGAGGGGAAGTGGAGAATGAGAACTCGTTAAGGATCGGAACACCTGGGGCCCTGTGGCCCAGGTGAAGGCAGCTGGAGCCCACGTGGGCCACTATGCTTCTGTCTGGGACTGAAGCCCTGCACGCATGACCACTACTCAAAATCTTAGCAGAATGGAGAAGAAGGGACTGCAGCATGGCCACCACCCCTGGGGAGTACTTTCTCATTTCCTCTCTCTCTCCAACAAGCACTCGCACCCTATAACAAATTTAAAAAATAAAAAAAAGAATTAAAATAAAAAAGAAATTGAACTCTCTAGAGAGAGGCAACAAGGAGACTTCAGCAGTCTGCTGTCACCCCTGTCTGCAGGATGGCTCCCAGGAAGGTGGGAATTCCCTCCGTCTCTAAGGCCGGACCCTAGCCTACACAGCTGGGCTGGACTTCACAGAGAGGTCAGAATGAAGGGAGTCCAGTCTTTGTTGGTTTTCCAGCTACATTCCCAAGGCCACCTACACTAGAAACTCTGGGTGACCTGCTGGACACTAACCAGAAGGTCAGCCCCACAGAGTGGCCCTAGAGGGGATATCCTGGGATCCAGCAACCCTTACCAAGAGCTCTGCCCGGGCCTGCTCCCCCTGTGCACGGCGTCTCTTCTTCAAGTCTTTCACTCTCTTCAGGTGGTCCAGCTGGTTCTGGATCTGTTCCTGCAAAAGCCAAACAGTTGCTCAGCTCGGGACGGGGCAGACCTCACACAGGGCTCTCCTGCTCCGCAGTCACCGGAGCAGGGCTGGTCCAGGCCCCAGGCACGGCCGGCTCTCCCGCTGTGTCCAGAGAAAGGCTCAGAGCACAGAAGCCCCGGCCTCTCCTCTGGCAAGTCCTGCCTACTGACCTGAGGGGCCCCGCCGAAGCTGGCAGGCCTCCACAGGGTGGCACAGTACCGCCAGAGTGAAATGCTAAGTGAAGGCGCCACGGGGAAGCGTCGTTGTGCCAGCAGCCCTCCAGGACACAGAAGACAGCCTCGCGGACTCCCCGCCTGCGGCCTGCCCGCTCCCCACGGACGCCGAGTCGCGCCCTGGTGCGGGTGCCCGGGCTGCCCAGTCCACTGAGCGCTGCGCGTCGCGTGACGTCCGGCGCCTGCGTGCCAGCGCGGCCACCGGCTCCCCGGCCCCCTCGACCCACGCACCGCCGGCGC